GTAACCAGGAAGTGGAACCAGGGGAGGCAAATATCATCGGATGAGCTTACTTTTTTCAAGGCAATAAAAAATAAAAGCCTGTTATCCTGTTTTGTGCTTGCCGCTCGGCATTCGCTCGCGACATCATGACCGGGTTCGCCTGATAAAATGTGCCGGCTGTAGATGTCAGAAGCGTCGAGCGTGCCGGCTAGAGGTTCTCTAGCGCCAAAGCCGAGCTCAGCAGACGATCTTTGGACATTCCACTCTGCCGCTGACCGTATATGCTCTGCCGGCGCGCGTCTCTTTAATGTTAAATTATAGTTGTGCGATAATTTATTCATTTAGAAAATAAATTTAAAATAAACACGATTTAAATCTCTCATGGCTACCTATTCTTGGTACAGAGATTATCGGTCAAGGAGTTGCATTAATCTCCTGTCTGAGGTTGCGCCATCTTTTGTTAGTACACAACTGGGCGAGGCCGATCATGACGTCGTCTGCGAATGCCGCGGTCAATAGCCCAAAGCAAGTTTTTTTTTTTTAAGAAGTTACACCAATTCGTTTATGTTTTCACTCTATGCTTCTTCCACTTAGACGCAACTTTGTAGTAAATCGCAGCGCGATAGGTTTAGAAACCGACTTTTGCGGGCCATCTTAATTGTGTTATTAGCGTTAGTTTACACGCTGTTCTAGAACGCTGAGGAGTCAAGGTACAACACATTTCTGTCAGAATGACAGATATGTGTTGTACTTTGAAAAACAAATTGCACCCAAGACAAGACGACGGCAGTGAAACAAGGGCTGAGTAATGTAGGTACCCAGTTTAGACAATGTATATATTAACCCGACCACTTAGACTGGCGTCTCTTGGTATTCTGCTACTGTTTCATAGCCAAATATAACGGATGCGGAGGGCTGACATGTTTGAATGTGGCATTTATGGGAATATTGTTTTTGTACCTTAATGGTATATGCTGGAAGACGACTTATAAAATCATAAAATATGTTTCAGTTAACCTAAACTAACAACCACTGGAATTTGCGATCTCCAACTACGTTATACACGAACATTTAGTTTGTGATGGAGCATGGGCAAGACAAACAACAACATTAAATGAAGACATGTGAAGTCAGCATCACATTGAGTAATCTTTGAAGCATTTTTATTGCACATTTGAAGCCTGTTTAATGTCACTCACTGTTCATATTTCAAGTCTCTTCAATAAGTTACGCCCCCCTTAAAATAATACTACAATAATAATAATAATATTAATAATAATTCTTTATATTTTGTGAACACTAACACCTTTTCAGTTTCCCCTGTGGTGCACTAAATACTCGCAGGCTCAGGATTTATTATTAAGTTCAATGCTACTTCGTTCTACTTTCCTGAGGCACGACAAGATCGGCTGACTCTCTTAATATTTGGATTTACTTAATACACGTTCTTGGTCGAAATATGCGTCAATGAATTGTTTCGGATTAGCTAGCTTTCACGCACATCAAGCGTCACCCGCTGCTACGCTGTATCGTAAATTTTCTACTGGTTATAAAGGACACTCGATACCCCCCCTATTTCTTCGAGCAGAAGTCTTAGAACGCGTAAGGCTAAATATATTTTTTTTTAATTTTTGGTAAATGCGCTCTTCCTCAGTTGTAAATATCTTGGTTCCATATTCATGTCGGCTCCATTTTTCAACCAGAGCTAGTAGCATTAAACAGAGTAAACTTCAAAAATAGAAGCATCAGTCACGTCAACGTTCTTTACATACCTCTATAGCTAGGCACGGTGGATGACAGCACATACGGAAGCGATACCAATGCTGTGCATAGGACAGCAACAGAGGACATAATGTCGCAGATGTGATGAACTAAAAGAAAATTACGAAAGGCAAACCTGTAGTGAAAATTAATAATCAAACCTCTTTAATTACAAACATTATCTAGAGAACGGTTTCTTTGAGTGTCATACGTGATTATAATCGTTCGATTAGCTCGTAGCACTTTTTTGCATATAAATTGTGCATAAGAAAAAAATTCATGTGTTTAGAAATTTTACGTGTCATGTTAATCTACGACATGCTGAATTGTATTAGTTATAACCGAGGACTCCATGCAACGTCTCTTACAATTAAATAAAGTTGATCAACAAAAACAATTTTAGTGCGCAGATAGTTGGCTCATTCCGGATAATTCTAAACAAAGCAACCGCAAGAGTTTCTTTCTTTTTTTAACCAGGAACGAAATTATAATACAAAACAACTCTTCAATTATAACTTCAACGGAAACTAGAGCTGTAATCTTAATAAACACTATCGGCAAAGAAAAGCAGCTTTTAATAAAATGATTCTCTTAAACAAATCCGATTTGATGATAATGGAATCAATACGAATGCGCAAGCGAGCTGGACAAGAACTACGAAAATAACATTTGAGAATGGAAACTCATTCCTTTCCCAGTGATTATTTTTGTTAAACCCGATTTGGAGTCCCGAGTAGCAATCCTCCTCACCTGACCAATCAAAGACAAGCTTAATCTTTGATCCCTGCTATCCCAGATACGCGAGCAACAAGAAACAAATACGCGCCACTTCGAGCTTTCTATATAACGGACGACACACCGAAGGATATCCTTCATACACTGGTGTCTTTATCAACACCCTACAGAGGTATTCTTCGTGACAGCCCACGGGTCCCATCCTTTCCTGAGGCGTATCTGCCGACACAGATGCTGCACGCAACAAACTTTTTTTTTTTATTATTGTTTTTCGTGCGAATGTTGCATCCATTCTCGGCACGTAATTGATCTCGAGAGCAATACAAGATGCGGGCTGTGGATCGCAATCACCTTGAAAATGTGTTTTGGTGAGGCCCTGGCAGGTGGCTTGAGTTTCACTCGAAGGTTGCAATGTGTAACCGAGTTTGGCTTGCAGACGCCTTTTTCTTCCAGGCATATGCTCAATTAACATACGTAGACGCTAGCTTGTATACGTAAGTCGGGCGCTTGATTTGATTGTGGTAAATGACACCTAAAAGAACGCAGGCCGTTGCCAGTCCTGATCACCTTATTAGCGCCCAATAAATTGTGGCAGCAGTTCATAAGAACTACAAAGATCGAATCAGAACACGCAGCAAGGAGTGTAAATATAATAAGGTACGACATTTTTTTTATTTTTTTTTTCGTTAATGTGGACAGTGATTCTAGCTAATCCACTGATGCCGAGTGGCCAAGATGAGCTTTTCTTTTTTTAGGATAAATGTTTGTTTAAAGATTTTAAATTCGTGCACATTGCATCTCAGTTTGTTGTTTGCTCGTATTATTTTTTTAGTTTCCAGCGAAGGTATTATTCAAGAGCTTGACTAGCTCGAATTTAGCTCCTTGAAATACGTTAACTAATATCACTGCAGCAGTTGATTGGAATGGAAAAATAAGTTTTATATGACCCATCACCATACGTGCTGGAAGCAAATTGCTACCCAGGTGGCACCATGTTTCTCTTTGACACCTCAAATTTCATCCAAATTCTGTCACTTAGAACAATTTTAATTAGGTTTTCAAGGATAAATTCTTTACCTTCAATACCTGCATTGTCTCAATACAGTTTAGAAAAACGTATTACATGTGAGGAAATCGTGCAGTTTTTGTCCACCTAATAAAATATCGCTAAGATAAAAGGCACAAAATGTTTTCTAGGATGCCGAAGTCAAGATCTAGCTTAACAATTCATATTTTTATTAGCAAAAACTAACATTACAAGACACGTCGTTAGATTTTTTTAACTGCTGTACTAGTAAAACATGCTAATAAACATTCCCTAATATTCTATCATAAAAAAGTTCCTTCATTTATATAATCCTCCTTGTCTATGATGATTTCTTTATGGAGTCTGTGGTAAAATAAGTTAAAACCTAAAGTTATAAGTTTGCTGTACCAGATGACAAAACTTTTGTCGCAACCGGCGGAAGGTTTACAATAAAGAACATGCTAAACCGATTAAAAAAACACGTATGTTGGATTCAAATGTAAACAAAAAGTTCCGACCGCCATTTGACGTAAACAGTCTACGTTAACAACATCACTATTAATCTTGCTCTACAAATCGATCGACAAATAAAGGCCACTACATCTTGTACGGCCAAAAAAAATGTGTTTTATTATTCCTCGAAAACTACAGGGTGACTCAAGGAGGGCCAGGCTCTTTAAATCGAACGCAAAATTCGGTTTCTTAACCTATCGCGCTACGACTTTGTGCAGCGTCGCCCACAGATGGTGCACTTTTTTTGTAATACTTGCAAAGAGCGAACTTACCTGAGGAAAATGTAAAGAAAGAAAAAGGCTTAGCTCCTATGGAAACGCAGCGAAGCCACCGGTCTTCAAACAATATGGCGCCGTTTAGCACGGGAGACTAGAGATGGCGCAAGCGGTCGGGACGCCAACCGCCGCCAACGAACGAGCATATGACGCCGAGAGCCGTCGTCTTTTCCAGGCAAGGAACTGCAGTTCCTTGTTGTTACCGGGCCTGTTTTTGTTTCTGCGACTGTCGCCGCCTGCGGAACGCGCGCCGCTTTTGAGTCGAAAAGATTGTCTGCTAAAGACGCCGGCTCTCGGCGCTGTATGCTCGTTGGTTGGCGGCGTTCGTTGCGCCACCCCTTGTCTCCCGTGCGAAACGGCGCCGTGTGGTTTGAAGACCGGTGGCCTCGCTGCGTTTCCATAGAAGCTAAGCCTTTTCCTTTCTTTACTTTTTCCTCAGGTAAATTCGCTCTTTGCAAATTTTACAAAAATATATATATATATGCACCATCTGTGGGCAACGCTGCGCAAAGTCGTAGCGCGATAGGTTAAGAAACCGAATTTTGCGGTCGATTTAAAAAGCCTGGCCTCTCCTTGAATCACCCTGTATACTCTCGCAAACAAAGTTCACGCATACATAAGAAAAAAAAAACGCGGTTTGAAAGCGAACACCAAGCTAACAAAGTTCGGTGATTTGGCTCGCAAAACAAAGGTTTAAATAAACTTTCCAATTCGCAAATCAAGCCACTTTAATAATTTCATGTGAAATAATCAGTGCCTACTTGCATAAAACTGCCAGTCGATCGCCGAAGACATGAACCCGATTTAGGTTGTAGAAAATAAAGTATTTCTTGGAAATATCATGTAATAGAAATTAAAAATTTCAGGTCAAATAAATAGACTTGGAAACAAAAACAAAATAATGAACTCCTATATATTCATAATCAATCGTTCCAATAGACGAGAGGCGTAGACATGGCCTGACGATCTCCACATTTAACACCATACTCCATTTCAAGTCTGACCACAGCTGAGGCTACGACAAGATGGATGGAGCCGCGATAAAAGTGCATCGTCACGGCGCTTGTTGAGTTTGTCTTCTGCTATTTCTGGCTTCAAGCCAACTTCCCCAAGGCTTCACCCAAAGCATCAAGAACGTTAGCCGTCATAACTTCCACCCAGTACAGCCTGACAGGTCCGTACAAAATATGAGCCAGTACACTGACTAGCAGGTCAACGCCGCCTCCAGCGCCGCTCATTCCGACAAAAAAATTCTCTGTTAAGACAGGCGTGAGAGCTTCGATTCTTGATGTGGACGTCCCACCGCCGGCATTTCTCGTGATCATCTCTCCCTTGTATCTCAGGTGGACCGCGTGACCGTGTATGGTTCCGTTGAGTCCGGAACACAATCGCCACGGGATGGCGATTCTGATGGGACGCGTGGATCGGATACTGAACAGAGTCACTCGGTCCTGGCCCCGACAAAATGTCCTGTACGGCCGGTCCGGTCTCAAGTGCATGAGGCCCTCGACTATGGTGTTCCCCAGAAAGAAGATTTTCGGTATCAGCTGGATTTGGCCGGTGTTGGTAGCCACGAAATTTCGAGGTAGTTGGTCCAAGGCCCTTTGGAGCCTGTCTTCGAGTACCACATTCTCTGCGGCGTCGCAATTCCCTGCAATGAAGACAAATCGAGACGATACAGCCGATGTCTGTGGTTATGATGAAAAGTCCAACCACATGGGCGTTCTTTGCGCGTTTCATCGGCGTGCGCGTCTCGCCGCGTCAGCACGCTACTGAAGAGAGAAAGGTCGACAACCCACTCCGGACGAGCGCCAGACCGCGCCGGTCTGGCGCTGAGCAGTGTCGCCGAATCCGCGATCCCTAAAACAGCGCACAAGCGGCATTAACCACCTGTTTACACTGTATTAGTACTGCGCCAAGCCGTTTTTCTTTTTTCTTAGAGCTTATATTCATCTTCTTTTAATCTTACTTTCAAGAAAATTAACTGTTAATCGTGCAATACTTGTATACATTCCTGTATCTGCTGCAGGGACACAGACTCGGATGTTCCAGAGGGTGCGGCCGGCCTCACTTCCACCCCACTCGACTCTCATTAGCATCTGCTTGGCCATTGGCCACTTCAGGCCAGGCATCGACGCCGAGATCTAGGGCCCTAATCTGTACACTAGGCGAAAAAGTTGTCGAAAAATCCGGCGAAAATGATTCGCCGGCGCCAAGATCATGTGCGGCGTTGACAATCACGGCCGCCAGATTTCTCTCCGACTTTTTCGCCAAGTGTCCTGACCATGGGCCCCTGGTCCAGACAGGCATCGGCGCTTCGCGCTCGCCGCATTGTTCTGGGTGATCTCCAGCGATGCGCACCAATGCAGGGAGAGGCCTACCCGGTTGAAACGCATGAAAAAACACTTCATACGTGGTTAAGGCTTAAAAGTGTTTTTACCATGACGCACCTGAAAGATGCCTACCGTGGTCATCGTTTTACCAGAGCCTATAAGAGCTATACATAGCTTCACATAAGCTTCGACAACAGCCGATGTACGTTCTTATTGAGGCAATCAGGCAGCAGTGAAAGTGCGTCGTCAGTGTGTACTTTGTCTTTGTACGTTTGCTATCATTGAATACACCAACTACACACACTAAAGGCACCAGGATCCTGCTTTCTTTTTTTTTTTTTTAGAGGAGGTATTGTCTTAGCCGGACATAGCGAAACCACAAGGAAAACGATCATTGCCGTGGCTATCTGTTTTCGAAGCTGCTTGATTTTCTCCATTGGAGACGATCAAGGGTCCTGCTGCTTTGAGTTATCTTCCTTCTAGACTGGAGCAGTCTTGGCCTCAAAATGAGGTATCTCCCGTTCTTTACTGTTGCGAGAAACTACGGTATCCTTTGCAATATTCTGCTGCCGAGCAAGGGCCACGCTAAAATTGGGTACATATGCGATTTTCTTAGGCATAACCTTTTTAATACTACAGTAGCTAATCAACAAATTTATATCGAGAAAAACTGGGAACGCGAGACCTTCTCGAATCAGGGCAAACACGTAGTTTCCGTGGCACGGCTGGAATCTTATTATGTAATTGAACAGCGCAAATCTACGAAAAACACCGTCCGGTAAATTTTTTCTCAATTCGTATTTATCCGATAACCTTTGAATTTCAATGTAAAAATGCAAGCAAAAATAATTTAAACAGGGCGATATTGTACAATTTCGGTCATAGCACACGATCAATGTCACTGAGGAAATGCCCCTCCAGTTTTATTTCAACCCTAAGAAAATTCACACAAGGGGAATCACCGATTCGCCCCTCAAGGTTCATTCAGGATAACAGATTATTCTACCTTCGAGTCACGACAAAAGACTCCCTTCCGGTTTCGTTTGGGTCATATTATTTGTGCGTCTTAGAGGAAGGAGGGGTTGTACTTCTGGAACAGTGAAAGCTATGGACCATATGGGTTTTATAGAAGGGGGAAAGGGGGGCAGTTGAAGCTTTTATATTAATCATTGATCAATACACCCAGCACAGCCGTGCGGTAGGCTGAATTAAACTTGACGGAATGGGACGGGATGAAAACGAGCTTCCCAGCGACTGCCTCCAGGAGTTTAATGGTTTTAAGGTACTGAAGTTTATCGAACCAACACTTGTTTCCATCTTTTTTGTGGAACAAATTATTATTTCCAGTGGAAATGGCGCAAACACGAAATCAAGTTGAATAAGCATAAATGTATACATCGCGTTCATTTGGATATAGCACACGTTTACACACGGAAAATATTTATTTTTAGTATGAAATATGTAAAACACTTCATAATTAAGCACCGAATTTTGAAGAATTGTGAATTTAACAAGGATAAACTCCGAAAATTTCCCAAATTTTTGTCATAAAATAAACCTAGAAAGCACGAAATTCTAGTTTTACATGACCACATCTAGCGGCCAAAAAGCGCAACCTGCCACTAAAATAAAATTTTAGCAGATACTTTAAATTATTTGAATCGGTTTTATAAGTTTTTGTTTTATGCTTTATAAAAGAAACAGACTCGTATATGCAGAATTATATACAGCGTTTTATCTAAGCTAATCATACGTGTTCATGTGTGTAGCCTAATGAGCTTATTTTTCATTTCTATTAATATTATTAATAACTTATCTGTGTGGTATACCCCAGATTAACGTTTGGACTCAAGGCACGATATCTTAACCCTGGGTAACGTTTTTCTTTAAATTTTCTGGGAGGAGCTTAATGCGCTTTGACTGTCTTGTAAAGATGAACTTCGAACTTATCTTTTTTTTATACGCTTTATTTTCCAAGCTTGTTTTCTGGAATCTCATGCCATGTAAGATTAAAATTCACTACTTGCATGCTTCAAAGGGATTCTGCATTTTCCCAATTCACATTATTTTGTGGTCTAATGTTTTGTTGTGCTTTTATAATCATAAATCGGTCTTCCTTTGTGAAAATTGTCGCACAGGTTCAACTGCATACCACACCCTGTGGTTACAAAGAACGTATATCAAACTCACCAGGTATTGAGTTGTCTTCTGTACCAGGTATCGAGTTGTCTTGTGTTGAAACAATGGAAACCCAGAGCGCGCCCACGAGAGCGTGAAGGAGAACCATAGTGCAAGCTAGCACCCTGCAAAATTATATATCATTTAAACAACAATTATTACATATCCTTCGGTCCTCACACTACAAAACACTTTATACTCTTTGGTCAAATATTGATTTCCCTATTGTTGCTCCGAGTTTTTCACTCAATATTTTTGTTCTGCTGAACTAGCGTCGGTGTATTAGTACTCGCACAATTTGACTGACAAGTATGCTCAAGAATTGAGTGCAGCATGCAAAATACTTTACCCACAGGCGCTTTGACATCTTGAAAGATTAGGAAATATCCTAATTTCCAAAATGCTATTTAAACAATTTATTGGTTGTTTTATACAGCTCGTTATTCACACTGCCCAATTATTTCACATAATTAGGCAAGTCAATGTCAACACCACCTGGTGTGGCTTGTGGAAGCAGGTAATCGTTCTGATCAAATAAATACTCATTTACGCTAAAACGCAGCTAATATGATGCTTTCATAACTTCAAAATATTTTACAAATGTTCGGGTGTGTATTTATTGCAGTGATCTGGCGTTATCATTGAGTAATCATTAGTTGCCGTGATGTGGTGGGTCAGACCCTCGGAAAAACAACAAACATAACCTTAACTTGATTCGTTCAGTGAGTGCCAGGTAATCGAGACTAAACAAAAAGATAAGTACGCCGACTAGAAGTTAGAAAAGCAATAATATATAAGGGTAACCAGCAAATCTTTTCCTTCGGAAACCCATACTTTGATCTTGGAAACAACTGTAAAAAAATAGCGTCTAACTTTGTTCTCACATAAAGCATCCTGTCCGTAGACATGTGAGCATATACGTATGAAATCATTCTTACCACTATGAGAGCGGTTCTTTGTGCGCCCGATTCTGTAGTCGTTGTGAGCTTTGGGAGGATGTTTGCCGTGTATTCTATGATAACTTGGCAAGGTATAAAAAGCCCCACGTGTCGGAAGTCTTTACATCTTTATTTCAGAACGGTTTCCTTCCTTGACACTGCTTCCCGACACCCGTTTACAATCGATGCCCATCCGTTCATTCTCGCTTCACCACCTTGTCACAACAAAATTTTCATTACCCCTAGCTTACTCTGGTGACTCAACTATAATTTTAAATGAGCAGTTTTACCTGCTTGCAGTTTTTTAGATAACGTTTATGGGTTGCACGAAAATTAATACCCACACTGTTGAATGAATATAACAAATTTAATTTGGTGTTTAATGAACATTCTTGCTTCGCTTGATGAATTTAGTTATCAGGTGGTGACAACTTTCGTAAGTGACATAAAATGGAAAATGGAAATAACCATTCTTGATCTCCCCACCACTTTCTCAAATATTATCGAGTGACATCTTAAAGATGCAATCCGCATGGTAAGTTGAGTTTCTTGCGAATTAAGCCGCTCAGGCATCATCAGTCGATTATCAAATATTCTCATTGATATCTCTGGCTGTCAGTGTTTCGAATAATTTATTGAACGGGTTTCAGGTTTTAACTGGAAATGTAGTGGGTTGAAAATTATAAGGCATCATTAACCCTTTCTTTCAAAGTAATCTTAAGAATGAATCCTATAGATGTTCCCAAATTGTATCAGAAATCACTTTACAATATCTTCATTTCGGCTTTATTGTATGGTATTATAACTTTTTTGTCTACTTTTAGTCTCATTGTAGTCCTGAGCTCAAAATATTATAATGCATTCTAAGAATTACGAAAATTAATTCGCTTGCAATAATTTAACATAAAACAAAGACCTTTAAAGTAAAGTGTTTTAATTTTTGTATCTGTTTTGTTTTATCCGGTTAGCTTTGGGTTTAACCCGAAAATAGGTATTATTCAGAGGGAAGCCAGGGGGCGAGAAAGGCCTGATCAACTGAATTTGATTAAATATTGTCCTTCCGGCACGCATAATTTAAAGTGAATTAAGAAGACGGTTTGGTCGCTTGCTTGGCGCTACTTCTCATACCTGATTCCTTTTAGAAAATATGTAACTATATTCCCATCTCATTATCAGGATGTATTACTCCCCCAGAAATACATAGACCCTTCCAAAATGCGAAATATTTTTTTTTACGTTCATATCTCTACAATCAGCACTTCATATTGCTTAGGTGCAAATTGCTCGTTTGGTCTAGATGTCTTCTTCGCTCCATTTGTAAATTGTAGTTCTTTACACTAAACAAGAGCTTTTGCGAGTTTAAAAATTGTCAGTCTATACTACCCCTGGTCGCCCTCTTTTGCTCATCCAAACACGTGCAGAACATGCCACTGCAAGATGCTTCGTCAAAATAAAGAAAAAAACAGGGGGGTTTCTCTGAGGCCCTTACCCGTCCAGACTCTAGAAAAGACAGAACACGCAACCATAAAATCCTGCAAAGCTATTTATTTCCACAGTACAAAAAGCCTAGATGTTTATCCCGTTCCTGATGTCCCCCGTCATTACTACCGCAAGAAGCGCCTGATCGGCACAGAAAAGATATATCCAAGAACATTCATAATCCCGTCGACTATATCATTGCCGCCCTTCATCCCAATATGTAAATCTTTTAACAACTTCGACGTAAGACTCGCAATTTACGAAACTTACCTATTCTCAGACTTTATTGTGCACTCTAAAAAAAAAAGGGTATCACCTTACACCCTTTTGTCCCATATAATACACCCCAAAACTTCATTTCGACATACAACGCCCTATAGTCGAACAGACGGCACCAAATTTTACCAGGGGCTTGATAACGGTGCCATATAACTTATTAAATTTATGTAGTACCTATCAAAGACTAAAGAAAGAAAACACTGAGCTTTTGCAGTACGGCCAAGAAAACTCCGATAATGTTTTTTGTAGTCAATAATACGTACATCAGCTATCATAATAAGTTGTACCACACGGCTATCAAGCCCCTCGTAAACTTTGGGGCCGCCTGTTCGATTATGGGGCGCTGTACGTCGAATTGAAGTTTTGGGGTGTATTATATGGGACAAGGGGTGTAATAGTACACCTTTTTTTCTGAGAGTGTGACCAGTTTTTCTTCGCATCTAAGAAGCATTCCGAAGCTAAACAAGGTCCCACTCTGTCCCGAACACAAGGTTCCACGGAATGGACATTTGCATGGGTTATTCCGGGTGAAGAGTGAAGAGGGTAATGGTCTTGTCTCGGCCCTGGCAGTAAGTGTTGTACGGCCTATCGAGACGAAGCTGGTTTGCAGGTTCGACCGTCGTCTTTCCCAGGAATAGGCCTCGCGGAATCGGTGGCGTGTCTTCACTTTCAGTCGACATGTATTCCTCGGGTAGACGGTTCAGTCATTTCTTCAGTATATGTTCATTAAGTTGCTTGTCAGCCGAATCCCAATTTTCTAAGAGCGACACAAGTAAATCAGGAAGTGATTATTTCATTTAGTACAAATCACAGACTGTAACCACTTTATGCCAACCGGATAAACACACGTCGTCCGCTCTTTTTTTTTGCTCGCTGTCTTCTGAATGTTGCACTTTTAGATTGTGATTTATTTTACTCACTTTTTTATGTTTTTTTTTTTGTTTTTGTTTTTTTGCTCTTTGTTTTTTTTGTCATGTTAGGTCTAGATATTATTCGAAGTAAGCAATCATTTGCCGAATCGTAACGATGACCCGTTTTCCATTGTTTCCTCTAAATTCACAATATTTTTCCTATTTATGATATACTCCCTCCCACGTACCGATCGTTCTTCAAGAGCGACAATACTGGTTACGCTTGTGTCACCTTGTCAGGACGGTGATATGAGTGTATAAAAGACGACCTTCCAGGACGACCATCCTCAATACTCAAAAACTTACTAATTTCAACGAACTGAAAAAAAAGTATTGATGGGTCAAGCTTACAGATTTATAATTAAGTTGTAGGTAACGTGGGAACAGAGGTTTGTGTTCGTAAACGTCTAAAACTAGCCATAAAAAGAAGTGTGCTTGCGAAATGTGTGCAGGTTTTCTTACAAACATGTCAATATTTGCGATGTTTTGATTTTGACGCCTCGTAAAGAGTTACAAAATTATCATTAATGGGCAAGAATGCGCGTCATTATAATTCGTACCAACATCAAGTGCTTCTATTCCACGTCCCCCGTAAGATGTAATTTGTTGTATTGCATTCACGAAGATCCTTGTGAGTAAGAAGCTTTATTTTACTCCCCCGTCTTCGTATGTTTTTTTTTTTTTTTTTTTTTTTTTACATATTAAGCCTTAATATTTTTCACCCCTCGGGTAATGCCCGTATGAGTAGCTTCAAGTTTGAGAGAATGTGAAGATGGTGAAATGACCATTTCATTAAAACATCTGAGACAGGTGAGTAAATCTTGAAACAACCAAAAGTGGAAAAGACAGGGAAAGAAATCAGGCGACGTCTCTTGAGACGTCGTCTGACTGACTTCTTTTTTGTATCGTCTACTTTTGATTGTTTCAAAATTTCCTCATCCAGTTTCAAGTGCTTTGAAAAAATGTTAAACTTACACCAGCTCGCCTGCGCCCTCACTATGATTTTATGAAATGACCAGCAGCATCCGCCAGACCTGGACACTGTCGTCACTAAGCCCACTCCGGGTTCCACGGTTAATTGGCTTTTATCCTGACCCGGAATTTGAAATGAATCAATGGTGACCAGCTATAAACGGACGCTAATTTTGAGCCAGCCTTTGTAAAACACTAAGGTAAAAAAGCAGGGTATACTCGGTTTTACTTTAAATCCCACCGTAGCCGACAACGCAATGCAATGGAGCTAATCAAGTGGTGCCAAACGTCCATCGTCAGCGTGCTCTCTGTCGTCGGTGATTTGCTGTCAGCGGCTAGACTAATCACGGATCACAACAAATTGAATCGCTTTTCGCTATTCAATTTGTCGGTGGCGCCAAGCGCTCAAAGGCAAAGAGCGCCTTGACATTGCACTTTTGGCGTGGCTAGATCGGCTCCACCTGATCGTAGTGACGGTTGCAGGGCCGGTGTAAAAGGAACTTTTTTTTTTTCTGAGTGGCCTGTTATTTACCTTGCATAGACGTAGAAATTAACCGAGGCCTAGGCCTATGGTCTATAAAGAAGATCCACATAATGTTCCTTTTTTTTCTTTCTCTTTTTCGGTCACAATATTGTTTGGCATTTGACTTGTTTAGATAAATCTGAAATTCCGATGAATTCACCGGTTTAAGGTTTTTGGTCACAATATTGTTTGGCATTTGACTTGTTTAGATAAATCTGAAATTCCGATGAATTCAGCGGTTTACTTTAAACCAAAACCAAAAAATATTAATTATAACTAACCCAACCTGACGTTGCGGTAACATAGTAATACCCACGTGGTGTTGAGCGTTCACCTGACGAAGCACCGGCAATGCAGAAGATAAACAAGAAACCCTGAACTAATGCCATCGTGGCCCTTTTGAAGACCTCTATCATAAGATGAAACCATTTCCGTCAAGAGACGATCACTCCAGCTATTAAAATATCTTGACCCCCAGAATAGCCAGTTATTAAATAAAAAACCTCTCGGCTCTTAACAAGGGAGGTATTTGTTGGAACAATTAATTTAGCAAGCCACACCCAGGATATACAGAGGTCTCGCGTTTCTTACGTTGTCTGTGACTGCATAGACCAACTCGACTTCCTGATGTCACGCCACTGCGGTGGTGCTGCTTTCGGTACTGCGCATGCGCAGATGCTTCGCCTTGGGTTGACCTGGTTTCTGCGCGAGCGTAATGCCTACAGCCGGTGTGGGTAATCGCGGGCTTGTTTTCACCGGTATGCTTGCCCGATAGTTTCAGCCACCAACTTTACAGGTAGCGCTATAGACGCTTTGCACACGCGCCAAATTACAGCCGCCATAGCTGACCTTCTCTTGTCTCATCGAGATGCCGGGCAACTGAAACGGTAGTTGACGATCCTGTACAAAGGCCGATGCTTTAGAAAAGGACACAGTTGAATCTAATATGGCAATAACCTGGCCTGCTATGGTAATGATGAAGTGAAACAAACGAAATAAGAGGAAACAAAAACTGAAGGTCAGTTATGGCGGCGTCCATGCACAGCTGCTGCAAAGCGTCTATATGTTTATAACCTCCAAAAATTTAAAAATAAAAAAAAACAACTTTCATCCTTTTTATTTTTGTGAAGAAGGAAGACTAACGGAGCTGTACAATGGAAAGTAACGGCCTGCCGCAAGTCGGCAAGCCAGAATGGAAACGCTGCCGCCATCTATGAGCGACGGCGGCAACCAGATACGTGGCTTGCCGCCGTCACTCATAGATGGCGGTAAGTGTCCAGAGTTTGGCGTCTTCATTTCTTTGCTGGGGACACGATCCTGGGGAAACTAACCCTTAACAGCTCCGCTGTAAAAAACTCGAGAGGCGGCTTATTATGTTTATGCTTTTTCGCTTGGGGATTGTTCTTGTTACCAAATATATTAAATTTAAGATTTATTATATTTGGTAACACTGCATCTGGAATATCTGACCTTAATCGGAAAAAAGAACTTACTCGCCCGCCACAGAGGAAAGTCTCCGTTTCAAGTGCTTGAACGGAAACCTTATAGGCAGCCTGCCAAGGTCGTTGACTGATGCCACGTGTTGCGAGTTTTCCGGCATTATTTTTTTCGTTGTTTCCACTTGTGCGCTTTTGGCATCCTTCCTTGGCAGTCATTATTGTTGACAGGCAATCTATTTTTGTTCCTCTTACGTTCCTAACATTGGCATTCGTTACCGCTATTTATGTGTGTTAATTCGGAATTTCAACAGAATTCTGACAGCTTCCACGTGGAAGGACAAGCAGCGAATAATAAACAGAGGCAACCATTGGTTTGATAACCGAGAGGCCAGATTAAACTCTTGTAGTCGGTACCGGACCATTATGCTTATTGTAGTTTTATTCGTTTATATATGTGTTGGAAAATTCTCCTATCTGCTGGTATTCTTAGTTTATACTTACTCGTGTACGATATAATTAAACGGCGTATGTCAAGTGGTCATAGGTACATTTATTGTTATAGAGGATGGTATACGTGAAATGGTAACTTTAGACTCAGAGAAGTGTCACAGCTCCGTCTCATTATTGTACATTTTTTATATAAATAGGTCACGTTTATTGATTATTCGTTCATTAAATTTCAACTTTACTACGTTTAGAATTAAACAAATCGCGTGTACCGCGCCAGGTTCGTTTCAATCAAGATCTAGAAAATAAAGGTTTATATGTAGTTAAGTTATAGTGACAATTATTTTGTATCATTAATGAACTTGCAATGCTACTAATATATTTTGTTAGTAGTTTAACCTTGACGTTTTCTTTTTCAGTTGGTTAATGAAAAGCTATCTCTGAAGCAACCTACCTGTCCAGCAATAATAATATGTGTCGCTACATCAAGTATTTTATTATCATTACAATATTAACAAAACCAAACACTACATTACTTTTATTGATAATATACCACGTGCAAAGCTAACACGTAAACTTCAAAGCGAACACAAATTAGTTTTTTTCGGGGAACGTTGGCGCGTACAATATGACCATCTTAGGATGACGCTTCAGGTAGACATTAGAATACTTAAAAGTACTTGTCGCGATGGTACGAACAAGCGTTCCATACATTTGGGTAATATATAAAAATTCATCACCTATATTTTTATTAATTACTTTTCTGATTTCACAAGATGTAAAGTCAATTGGGCTCCATCTAGTCTTAACAAAACTCCCATAGCTTTACATAATTTTGAGCGTGTTCACATACTAACAACATAAAATTAAAATTTCATTCGTACCACAAATCTCATCAAAGAATCAACTTACTGGTAATGGCTTCTAAGTCTACAGACAAACGTAACACGTCAAGCCCATTATTTTAATAACGGTTTATATTTATCAAGGTACTAAAAACAAATCTATATCTAAAGGAACCGTCCGCGATTGATCCTCTTTAACTGAAATACTGGGGGTAACATTTTTATGTATATTTTATACATTTTTAAGTTTTGTAACTTTCCCAAAAAATTGGCAACATGGAACATCACCCTCGTCAGTTCTAGTTTGAAGTTTAGTTGGTTTCTCACGTGCCAGGCCCGGTTGGGACATCCCAAAAGTTAAAACAGAGTAAACATTAATCTTTAAATGTAGTACAGTACTGAGTTACATTTCAACGTCGCTCTTCATAGCAGCAATAAAACGTCGGGCCCAGCCCATGTTTGTAATAATTAAAAACTCGATCCACTCTAAAAAGCAGCACACCCCTTTTAGGCATTTATAAAAACAGCCAACAGGGAACAGTTCAAAAAAGCGCCCTTTAAGCGCAACACAGCATAGCCTAAGCCCTAGACGCTCGGGAGCTGAATCAGAATATCGAGTGTCTCGTTTCTTAGTTGACGGGACAATTCGTGATGCTAAAGTGGGGGCACAGCACTATAATTCCAGCTCCAGTAAGGTGTCTTTCAAAGCGTCTTGAACGCTCTGTGTCATCAGCTCCACCCAGAGGAGTCGGAGGGGTCCGGAGAACAAAAGACCCAATGTATGGACGACGAGGTGCAGTGTACGTCCACCGCCCGTCATTCCAATGTTGAGGTGCTCCAAAACCACAGGGGTCAACTCCTCGATGCTTGACCCTGAGTAGTTACCAGGGCCCCTTGTGATAAGTTCTCCCTCGTATCTGAAAAAAAAATATTTGTAAAGGGGTATATTTATATGAATATATTTGACAGAAAGATCAGCAGTCCTTCTGGGCTCTGTGGAATCCACAAACTAAACCTAGTTTAAAAAAAAAAATTTAAAGCACGTCAATGTTGATAACTAAAAACTTATGACGAGGAACAGAAGAAGGTATCGAGGAAGTCAAAATGCGATAATTTTATCTGTTGCTTATGGCGACTACGAATTTTCTCGGACAGTGACATTACATGCATTGGGCTGGGCATTCCTCTTAGCCAGATTTAATAAATTAACAATGGCTAAGTTCGATCAAACCAATTAAATATTTCTATACGTATACATATTTCTTTTAGTATTACAAAATATTTTAAAGTAAATTCTTTCTTAACAATAAAAGATAGACCCGTTGGTGAATGCCTAGGGAATGCTTTAGCATGACCCTTGGGAAGCGCCCAAACGTCCTGCTTTGGGAAACCCTAAAGCTGTCCCATTCACTTATTTGTTTTGGCCTTCTCTTTTGGATTTATCTTTTGCTTAACCTTTTTTTTTTTTTCTTACGGGATCAGCGATAGCGTGTCCCGCAGGGAGACGTGCGTGGCGTTTCCCAAGGATCATGCTAATGCATTTTCTTAGAATCCATCAATGGATATTCCTTTAGTTTTTTTCTAGCCTACTTGAATCAAGGCTAGTACTTTTTCACACTCCTTTTTGTAGCACAAACCAAGGTATAAGCGCTCCGCACATTTGCGCATTCAGACTCGCCCCAGCATCCGCGCGCGCATTGGCTTCCGCCCCGCAACTTCGCCTCCCTCTCGCCCTTTCTCCCTCACTACTCTTCTCTCATAACACAAAGCGTTTACACTTTCATTGTTTTATCCCCAGATGTATGCGGTCAGAATTTCCCTATCATGGGGGTACGAATGCTAACGCATTAATAAATATGTGTTTTAACACGAAGCCCTTTAAAGCGCACAGGCATTTTTATATTGAATGACTAATGATTTCTTCTTTCAACCGAGGGTCCCTAAACCGAAATCCAAACATGATAAGACAGTAGTTCAGTAGTTTTCATTCAAATTATAAGCGTCCCTGAATATTCTTGAATTCGAAGCAGCCAGTTTGAAAACGAACGCTGGAAATATGCCTAATACAGTCACTGCTTTTTAAACCATAAATTCATGTAAGAGACCGAAAGCTGTAGCCGTCAAGTCTCAGATCGCCGGAACACATAGTGACGTTGGTAAGATAGACAAATCTGTCCTGCAAGCCGAGTCAATATTTGGCTCTTGCAATGGTGAATTCATGAGTGTTATTCAAGAATACTTGCAATAACAGGCGCTAAAATCCGCCTTACCCTCATTATGCACTATTAATTTTGTAAATGTTCAGTTTATCGAAGTATTTTTAATTAACGGATGGTTTGATCTGAATGTCATGGATATATATCTTTCTATATTTCTAGATAGTTACTTCGAGGTACCTGATCAAATCTGCAGAACTGATCAAAGTTCCGTTGTGGCCAGAGCAGAGACTCCATGGTATGAACGCACGCACTGTACGGGAGGACCTCAAGCTGAAAAGAGTGACAGTGTCTTCGCCCCTACAAAAGGTCTGAAAAGGCCTGTCGGGTTTCAGATGGTTGATTCCAGTGATAGTTGTGTTGCCCAAGAAGATTGCTCCAGGTATCAGGTGTGAGCCTTCCGTTTCTGTGACCACGTATTCTTTTGGAAGACGCTTGAGTAGTTTGTGCAATTTTCCTTCAATCAACTCCTTCTCAGGCACATCGCAGTTTTCTGTGTTGAAACAAGTCAAAATAAAAATTAAGATTTTCGCACTCTAGGGTTTTTTCGTGCTTTGCAAGTTCGAAACGGCGATATAAAATCGCGCGCTAGCACAAAGGAATAAGAAATACAACATCAACAAGCAAAATTACGATGTACTGAATATTGGCTAGCTTTATTCATTTTGTTAACTTCATCTCAAGGACTAAAGTCAATAATTTAGGGTTCGGATCTTGGTAACGAGGCGATTGCGCTCTTCATGATTCTCTCCTCCAAACTCACGCGCATTCATTACAATATCGTGACAGCAACTATTTACAGCGTCATAGTGTGTTGCTTGTTATTATGTACGTCTTGAGACCACTAAAGTTGAAAAAGTAGTGATTTTAAAATGGTGACGGGTTTCCTCAAGTAACTCTGTCGTAATTCTAGGTTTTAATTTATTCGCTATATCCATATCCGAAGTTCAACAGTGCCGCAAAGGTTCGGTAAGAAAACTGAACAGTAAACGCTACCTTAATCAAACATGTTAGGGGGGTTTTCTTTGCTACGTTAATTACATTTAGAGGAAAGTTGAAATCTTCTTTTGTAGAAATAAATCAAATTTTTAGGAGCTTGCATGTTGACAGAGTTATCCAGGTTATTAAAGGCACTCAAACCACACCTAATATTGAAAGTAAGCCAGTTGATGTTCCGTGATTTCAATTACTTCGACTAAATTTACTCTTCCTAATGGTGTGAACTTACAAGACGGTCGGCATATTCACATGTCTTCTTATTTTCTTCAAAATCACTTAAGCACTGAGTCGTTTTCTTGTTTCACTCTAACGGAGGAAAGAAATGGCCTAACTAGAAACTATTTTAAAATAGTAACAAATATATTTTTGCTTTTGCGATATGCTGGTGTGTTTCAACTCTACTCTAACCGATTACATTTTTTATTTCAGTTTCTTGTTTTCGAGATAAACAGCAATTGCACCAGAAAGTATGTGCGGAGACGTACCTGATTTCGAAGTTGCTTCCGACAATATACTGGTAATCCAAAGAATGGTTACGATGGCACGGTTTATCGTCATTCTTTTACCGCAGAATAGCTGAAATTGGTTATCATTGGACAAATATTAGACACCAAATGCAGCTGCTCTTCTTATGAAGCATTTCAAAGTTTTTATTTGTGTAGGACTTATCACCTTTTGCTCATTTGAACTTATTCCTTTCATGTCAGCCAAGATAATAATATACATCATTATAGTCATTCCTTGATGGTACCTGTCTTAGCACTATTTAAAACTTAGTAGCATTTCGCAGTCATTATGTATCCCTGAGAGGATAAACACCCCTAAAACGTTGTTATTTTAAAATACAAAATTTTAACGGTCCAATAAAGTCCCTCACTTTTCTAAGCTTCGGATAAACACTTCAGAGGAAAAAACGAAACTTTGTTTTTGGCGACACAGCATAGAACACTTCGTATATATAAAAAAAGCATAATAGCTTATGTTCGTGTTAACGGCAGTTAGTGTAACTTATTTTATGTTAAAGCATGAGATGCTTTTTAACGATAGCCTCGAAGCACATAATTCCAAAATTATGTCCGTCCCTCCATTCGTCCGCCCCTGCATTTTTCGCTAAATTTAGCTCCGAAAGTGGCATCACGTGACCTATACACCTTGGGAAAATTGATGGCTTGTGACCTATGCGTAGACTCACTTTCTCCGCTAAATTTAGCGGGAAATTGACGTCACCTTACCTATACACCAATTCAGTTACCCGGCAAATTTAGCGGGAAAGTTCACATCTTGTGACCCAAACGCCATTCCAGTTCCCCGCTAAATTTAGAGGGGAAATCGACGTGACGTCACCATTCATTTCCCCCGCTAAATTTAGCCGAAAAAATATAAGTCACGTGACACACCAATTTCCTCTAATACATTTCATACATTATAAGACTTCGAAGGTAAAGCTCGCTGCCAATTTTTTTTATTATCTCATTTAATTACACTTTTAAAGAAACTACACTCTAAAAATTGTCCGTGCGTATGCTTTCCCGCACAACACTGAGAGAGCCAATCACCGCAACTTACGGATGCAGCTCAGCGAATGACAATGCCGAAACATATGTTTAGAACAAAAACGCAGTCTAAGTTGTGACATTAAGCAATTCAAAACGTCACGCTTGCATTGCTTAATGTCACAACTCAGACTGCGTTTTTTGGTCTAAACATATGTTTCGGCATCGTCATTCGCTGACCTGCCTCCGTAAGTCGCCGTGAATGGCTCTCCGAGTGTCGTGCGAGAAAGCAGACGCACGGGCTTTTTTTAGAGTGCAGATAACTCTATGGCTATAACTTTTTTTTTTTTTTGTATTTTGGTATTTACAATAGGTTTTTTTAATTTCATGGGCGATGACGTTTAATATTTATTCGGGAACCGCGGCTTCTTCCGGGAATGCATTTGCGTCCCACAAACACGAACAATTAGAAAGGGGGTCTGTCGTCAAAGCAAATGCCATGCTCCACGTTGCAAGAACGCAAACCTTCGAGTGTAGCCTGAAATGATGCCAGGAATCAAAACGAGTATGCGTTACACATGCAACGGACGCGTCATTGACGCAGATAGACATACTCAAGGTTGTAGTATTCGGCTCGCGTTCTTTGCTGCAACGCCGGTGCCTAAACAATTACTCAGGCTTGCAAATCACAAGTTCATACTACATAGATTATGTTCATCTTCGACATAAATATTACAAGCATACCTAGCCTTACTTCCTTGACCCGTTACAATACTGTCATAAAGCGTCCGCAAGCCCTTTCCAATAGAACGATACTTATTTTGAATTTATACCTACGCCTGATCATCCTCGGTTGAATTTAACACCAATTGTATCAATGCCCTCACCATATTCACAAACTGCTTAAGAAACTTAAGGCGTAGAGCGTTCACCGAGCATCTCATTATCACTCCAAATCCAATCAGGTGGCGGCATCAGACGATTCGAAAGACGAAGAACCAATTACGAAGTCAGAAGTGTGGACAAGCCACGCCCTGTGTTCCTTAAGCTGCCACTGACAAGAGCTGAACGCATCGCCATGAAGAATATGAAGACATAGGGTCAGAAAACGTGTTTAGATGCTCCGATAATCTGAGGAAACATTCTTAAGATGGAAGCTCGGCCGACTTGCTACACTGCGTTGCTACTATGACAAAAATTGTCTAACAAAATTTGAGGAGGGTTTTCCCTTGTCGATTTTGTTCCGCTTCTACCTGCGTAGTTTATGTCCGTCGACCTGTTAATAAAAATCACTTACCTGACTAACAGGTGGCCGTCACGAATCCGAAGTTGAATGAGTCTGGAACTAAGCACGTTGTAGAAATCCCGAGACACGGCTAGGAAAGGGTGCAAACCGGTTCCAAGTGTTGCGTCGGTCTTCACATTTATACGGCATTTGTTTTTGTCCTTGGAGGCCCTTCAAGATATTTCCTATGAGACGTGCGCGATCACCACCTGTTCACTTTATTTTTGTTTCTTTGAAGTCGGCGCACGATGAAGACGATATTGCATACCGCAGTAAGATTCGTCCGATGGCCTGCTTGCATTCTTCGGGGCGAGTTAATCCCTTGAATGAAGATTATCTTCCTTCTGTACGACTTTCACGTCCACTATAACCCGGTTACCGCCAATGCTCCGACTACACGGGCTTGCCTTTATCCGATCAGACTCGGAACGATTCTATCGGGAAACATTCGTCGGAACGAGAACGAGAAGGATCGGCAGGACTTTACGCTTCTCTAGATTTGAGATTAATTAATGAATATCAAGATACTCTCTTTAATTTCAAAATTTGTATTTTATTTTTTCTCAAGCGTTTAACCTAAATTATGTTGTGTGCAGGTTGTTATTGATTATGGCTTCATGATATCGCTTTAATGTTTGCAAATATGTATCACGAAACACGGTACAAGGTTTCTCTTTAAAAACGCGCCGCGCAAAAAAAAATTATGAACGGCGCATTTGGTGACTGTCAGACCATATAATAATAGAGGTACTTCAAGTTTCTAATAAATAAGCAAGTTTTAATAAAATAAAACTTTATTTTGCACAAATACCGGTACTGACTGAATCCAAACACTGTTGTAACCAGCACATAAGGCTTTTTTTATATATGTTTCAGATAGGGAAATGACTTTGATGGGTTCGGATTTAATAACCTCTTAAGGCACCACTTTCATTTTTATTTCTAAATATCGCAGTACAAACAGTCAAGAGAAAACAAGGAAACGTAATCTCGGAGGTGTGTTTTTTAGGGCGCAGCTCTTAGGCGCCCGTTTCCGGCTTGAGCGGCGTCGGCGTCGCCGTCGCCGTCGGCGTAACCACGAGCTCCCCCCCCCCCCCCCCATCAAGGACCTCGGGAGGACCTCGGGTTCCTTGGGGAGGAGCTCAGGAGGACCTCGGGTACCTTCGGTGACCTCGGGGAGGGGGTCACGTGACCCCCCCCCCCCCCCCGAGATCACGTGACTCCCCCCCCCCCCCCCTCCCCCGAGGTCCCGTGAACGCCCGGCTCGAGGTCACGTGACCCCCCCCCCCCCCCCGAGGTCACGTGACCCCTTCCCCGAGGTCACGTGACCCCCCTCCCCGAGGTCAGGTGACCCACTCCCCCAGGTCACCCTTCCCTTCTCCTCCTGAAGAGCTGTGCTCGCATTCGGCGTTACAGGGAGTTGTAAATGGCTTTCACTTTTCTCGCTGTATCATTCTGTCAACAGAAAATGGATACCCCCTCAGTGGCACTTATAAATTTGGTTTTATTTTTATTTTTTGAGAATCAAAAAAAAGCTGCACAACCCAAGTTTTTGTAAAAGTGCCTTTGTTTCAAGAAATCATTCAATGGCTAACCATTCCTAATGTAAACTTTACGTCCACAAAGAGCAAAAAGCGCACCTACTTTCTTCCAATCTCTAGCAGCCGGCACAACGCGACCATTTCATCACAAATTCATCTTCCATTCAGGGAACATAGAAATTATATATTCTCCATTTAGACATATGTACGTGAAGTTACGAAGGAACGGCAGACAACACAGTGAAAGTTTTTAATTCGAAGAAGACTTCCGTCCAAGGACGCCTCCTGAAATTGAACAGACTGACTGGTCGTCGACAAAGCACGTGCTACTTGGTGGCCACTCTCAAATTCTGATACCTCCTCAAGTCATAGTGTCCAAGACCGCACCCTGCTTTTTCGATTAGGAGAAATTAATCCGTACTTTAATCTCGTAATCAATCGGTTTTTGTTAGTCACTGACAGCCTACGAAAAAATGGGTGTGATGAGTCCCGACCACCTTGCTATCGCCCCGGGGCCAATCAGAATGCGTCATCAGCCAATCACAAAGCTAAATAACGAATCAAGGAACGTAAGATAAGCCGCGCCTTGCTTTTCTGAAGCTTCCAGTATTCATAGAGCGGAAAGCGTAAAATTCAAGAAATGCAGTGATCCATGATGCACGTGGAGAAAACAAACGTTTTCATCGGGATTGGAAAACCAAATTTATTGCTCCGCTTCCAAAGAGTCGCTCAGAGCCCTCCGGACATTCCTGTTCGTCTCCTCAGTCCAGTAGAGCCTAACCGGTCCGGAGAACATGTGGCCTATTATGTTAACAGCAGTGTCAACACTATTACCTGCACCTCTAAACCCAACGTCGTAACTTTCCAGCAGCACCGTCGACAAATTCTCGATCCTTGAGGAGGTGCCGCCGTCGACAGACTTGCTGGTGACCAGTTCGCCTTCGTACCTCACGTTACGCGCATTGCTGACGACAGTTCCGTTGTGTCCCGAGCAGAGACTCCAAGGAATGGACACCCTCAGGGGGTATCGGGAGCGGAGGCTGAACAGTGTGATCTTGTCCTGTCCTCGGCAGTATGTTTTGTACGGCCTGTCGGGTTCGAGGCGGTCAAGCCCGCGGATGGTCGTGCTTCCCAGGAAGATGGCCTTTGGTATTAGGAAATCACCCCCCGTGCTTGGGACAACATATTCTTCGGGAAGCTGACTGAAGAGTTTGTCCAGTTTTTGATCCAGCAGCGCCTTGTCCGGAACGTCACATCGTTCTGTGTGGAGAAGGAGAAACCAAGTCAGTGGCGATAATGTCGTCATTCGCAATCGGGAATGTCAATGGAATGGGGGCGATACTTCAACAAAATTATTTCGTAGTAGTGGGTGACAGGTCCAGAGGAATACAAGCTCCTCCCACCTCTTTCCAGATTAGAAGAGCCAAGCTTGGAGAGGAGGTCGCCTCCTTTCCAGCGTTCGCTCTGCTAAAGTGGAAATAATGGAGGACTCTGTCGGAGGGGCTTGTCCTGCACTCTTACCCTGTAACCCTAACTGTTATAGCTGCACAGTCTTCTCATCTAGTCTATGAGTTGTTTCAGTCCTCTTGTATGTACCACCCCTAGCTACCATATTCTAAAACATGCAGCACGAGATTGTTTTGAAATACTTTTGCTCTTTTATTTACTTGTTGCTCTTTATGTCGTACATATTAAAACAATAGCTCTTAGGTGCAGGAAACCTACGGTACTAGAAATATATACAGGGTGCGGCCGTAAAAACTTTCACATTTGGCACGCCTAGCAAAAAACGAATTTCAAACGTACATACCTGAAATTGGGCACACGAACGTCGTTTATTCCAAAGTTTTTTGCCTATTTTTTTCAAGCGTCAACTCTGGAGTAGCGAATTATTAGAAAGATAACAAAAATGGCAGGCGTGCATTTCCTATGGCCTATACCCGCCCGTTCGCCGTCTGCTATCTAATTCGCGACGCCGCTCCCAGATGGCATACTGAACGCAAAAACGCGGGAAACGCCGCACGAAAGGCTGGTGTCGGGCGAGATAATCACAATAAAAAGTGATTTTACCGAAATATGTGAACGATTATGCCCTTTTACTTGAAATTTGGAAACTGGCGGACGCCCTCGTTTAATAAAAATATGTTCTAAAGCAGACGAACGTGTGTCTTCATTTGTCGTCTGCTTATCTGTTGACGGGTCCGTTCCCGGTGAAAGCTCAACTTTGGAATCAAGAGTGCCGCTGCTGAGGCATCTTGATTGTTCCTATTTATTGCTTTTGTTGCACTGTCTTCTGCAGTTATTATCAAAATATTTTCCGCGCCGCCCTGCGATGCCACAGTACTCGGCAAGTGAGTGTGCCCAGGCAGTCAAGTGGTACGTGGAGCGGAACTCGGTGGCCACAGCACAACGAAAATTTCGCACTGCATTTCATAAACGCCCGCCTTCACGCCCAACTGTTTTGAGTTGGGCGGATCGTTTTGTGAGTGGAGAAGACTGTAAAAAGAAGAATCCAGTCAGTGAACGTGAGAGCCTACTGAAAAATGAGGAGCTCATTGAAGCGGTGCTTGCTGTCTTCGAGAGCGACCCGCAATTGTCAACAAGACGAGCAGCTGTAAATAAATGATCTCGTCGCATCATGGTGTCTTCTTGCTTGCATGACGATCTGTCAGAACTTGACTTGAAACAGGTAATTTCAACAATTCTTCATATATTTGGTTCAAATCACTTTTTATCGCGATTATCTCGCCCGACACCAGCCTTTCGAGCGGGTTTCCCGAGTTTTTGCGTTCAGTGCGCCACCTGGGAGCGGCGTCGCGAACCAGATAGCAGACGGCAAACGGGCGGGTATAGGCCATAGGAAATGCACGTCTGCCATTTTTGTTATCTTTCTAATAATTCGCTACTCCAGAGTTGATGTCTGAAAAAAATAGGCAAAAAACTTTGGAATAATCGACGTTCGTGTGCCCAATTTCAGGTATGTATGTTTGAAATTCGATTTTTGCTAGGCGTGCCAAATGTGAAAGTTTTTACGGCTGCACCCTGTATATTGAAAAATTGCTTTTCTTTTCTATCATGCCGTGGGCTTCGCAACAAAACCAAACCTGATCCATATATTTGGAAGATTCTTAAGCCACGCTCCTTATGTTAGGAAGCATATTGTTATGAAAATAGCAAGGCCTGTCACAAATGTGGAAAATATTTGCTCTCAGATTTACTAGAAGCCATGTAGCAGTTCATGCTTGTATTAATTACTTTATATTTTTAAATTTAAATGACCCAGTAACTTCGCGGGAGTGCTTAAATAAATATAATGATATGTTTCGTCCAGTATATTACCGAATACATATAGATTCATCATACTCACTGGACCTTGCACCAACAGTCGTCGTCCTCTGGGAATTTGGATAGGAGGTACTAGCACAGTTTCCCGTATGACTCGCGATAGTTGCAACATTAACTTGCTCAACTAAGTTATTTAAATATATGTTCAAGAAAGACAAAGGCTTGTCGTGCTCGACGACCGAATGACCTGGAGGCCAATAAGTTCTCGCTTCTTATGTTTCATTTTTTATGATTTTTGTCTTCATGTTCATTTTTTGTCTACAAACGTTCATAAAGTCCAAAAATTATTGTCTTATTCAAAAGATTTTACTGAACATTTCCACTGATTGATGCATTTTTTACTCATATTTGAGGGGTAGCCGAAAATCTGCTTACCTAATTTCACAATTTCCCTGGAGGACGCTGCGCTAATGCAGAGGATGGTCACCAAGGCTCCGAGCAGGGGCGTCATGATTCGTGAGGAAGCTACAAGAAGTAACAAGACACTGGATGATGTGCACAGTAAATACAAAATTCCGAATCACTCTGTCTATAATTACTAAAACCATGACTCAGCTTACACTTATTGAAACAAACCCTGCATTTGCACTTATTTTTTTATCAAATTTTTGGTTTTACAAATTATTTCCTAATACGCTTAGCTAGAACTATCCTGGCCCGTGACAGAAAAAAAAAAATAAACCAAACGCGGCCAGTTTTTGTAGTCTTGAGATGAGGAAAATATTGAGCACTCAAACGTTTTTAATATTCTTTTTTTTTTTTATAAAGGCTATTGCAACGCTAGGAAAGGTAATCTGCGTTACATATGTCGTGAGCTGCAAGGATTCATTACTCTCAGTTTGTGGTCAATGCAGAAACATGTTTTCGTCATTTTGTTATAGTTTTGGTTATATTCGGGTTCTTTGGTTTTAAGTTTCGAATCGCGAATTCGTTTGACAATAAATAAAAATATTTGTAGTGGAAAATTGGCGGCTACTTCGAGGTTTCCGCGGGGTTCCTTTCAAGTTAATTCTATCGGCTTTGACTACATTCAGATTAATTTTGTTTTTCTTTCCCTCAGTGGGGGATTTGTTTGAGACCCCCCATGCTATAATGTTTAAAACAAATAGCATATCACTTTAGAGGTTCGGAAAGGTGACATATTGAGCCTGCGACTCAGCACCACTTCCTTTGATTTCCTTGATTTCAAAACTCTGACTGTCTGATTTTAGAGGTTCGGTCATCTTAACAGTTCAATCATAGAAATACAAATCTCAGTTTCCAATGAAAACAAATCATAAGTATAATCTCTCACCTCGATGCAAAGAAACCCGTACGCACGAGTCAGATCCTGAACAAGTTGTGTTTATAAAGATCAGACGTGATTACGGGAGACGACTCGGCGAGGGTATAACAGGAAATCACGTGATGTTGCCGATGTATAAATACCCATTTTAGCGCTGACTTTACCCTTGAAAGCGCGTCCCGCCTGCCACACGTGCTAACGATTATCACCTTATCGACATACATCTTTCCTTGTCGACTTAAGCGTGTTTCTTGCGATCCCCAGGTTTAATGCAGTCTGCGGGCTCAAATGGCCTCCCGGATAATTGCCATACGCCGCGGCGTTTTGCCAAATGGCGCGTAAGCTGTGTAAGGTCTTAAATGCCACCTTCGCCCACGAAGCTGAATTATGCGGATTTATTCCCTATCTGTCAGCACTTTATTAAAACTGGTAAATTCGCGTATTTGCTTGAGTGTGAACGAAACTATATACCAAAATATTGAAACATAAAATTTTTTTAACGCTGTTTCAGTCACGCAATTTTGTCCGTCCCTTTGTCTGTCCGTCCATCCGTCTGGGCATTTTCTGCTAAATTTATCAACAGAACGGCCACTAGAGGGCACTAGAGCCGCCGCCGTTTCGTCCGTCGGCTTCGTTCGCGCTGCGTAGTTCGTTTCGAGGCCTAACTAAAAATGTGCGTTTCTCGTTGTCCTGGGTGATGCAGCTTTGAAGGCGATGGAGCCGCCCCCGACATCGTTGACCTCGACAACTTTCTAAAAGCCGACGCTGCTGTCGTTTCAACGGAGGAAATGACCAACGAGGTGATAGCTAGCGATGTTCGTGGAAACTCTGAAGACGGGGACGACATCGAGTCTGATGAGCAAGACCCCTGTGATGTGAACAGTAACCGTGAAGTGATGGACGCGATTGATGTCTTCAGGCGGTTCGCGAGCACACAGCAAGACGAACACCCGATGCAGGCCGTCTGGCTATGCGAACGTCGCGTGAGTCCAATGATAATGCCAAGAGTGGCCCAGATAAAGGTGATGGACTACTTTCAACCGAAATAAATGCGTCCTTGGTGGGTCTTGTGCACCCGAGAAACATTTGCGGCAACTTTTTTTAACGTTAGCCCCGAATTTCTATGTAGCGAAATTTCAAAGTAACGAAGTAAATTACGGATCTTACCGGTTCGTTACATCGAGGTTTCACTGCATAAAGGCACAATTTTAAACTGCAAGTAAGTTTTTCCGGTTTTGGAAATATATGGAGCTTTTGTATAGCACGTAACATTTTGTTTTGCAAATAAAGATGCTTCTGAATATTGGATGCTTTTCTATTACCCCAGACAAGGAAACAATAAAAGAAAGAGTACTGGAAAGTAAGTATAGTTGATTTTTTTTTTATGAAGAACATGCTTATTACGTGAGGCAATTCCAACGACCTTAGAAACGGCCAGACAGATATCGTTTATGTGGTCGTCATTGTTGCAGTAAAACTTACACCTAGAGATCAAAAGTTTCTACGTACTCAATGATGGTATAACTCAAAACTAAGGGCGGTGGGTGCATCACAAGTTTTCCTTTAGAACGAAATATGTCAGCTTTAGTTTTCTCCTTGTTTATTTTCAATGAGTTGACTAATGACCACCGCACTAATAATGTCAATACTCGGTTAACAGTGCGGGTTAGTTGTTCAACGGCGAAGGAGGAGAAGAAATCGGATGAATTCCAACGAACCAAGTGAAGGCCCGTTCACACGCTTGCGACCTCTTAGAACCGAGTTCCTTAGAACCTCTTAATATCTCTGACGACAAGAGGACACACTGGCGCCATCTATTGGGCTGCAGTATAAGCTTGGCGGTCCGGCATATCTCTATTCCTCTCGCGCATTATCCTTTCTTTATTGGCTCAAAAAACTGTTGTCAAAGTTATAAACGAGCTTTTCTTATAGCTACTACGCATATTTGACCTCGAAAATTCCGCAAAACATTCGCTCTTGTAAAATGCAGTTCCTTCGTCACCGCATAGATGGCGCCAGCGTGCCAGTGTGTTCTCTCGTCTGTGTCTGAACGGACCTTAAAAAGTAGAAGGCAAAGCTTTTTATTTTATTTTTTTGTTACTGCCGCACTTTGCAAAACGCAAACGCCAGCGATGGAGCTCTATTGCCAGGAAATATTAACGACACCTTTTTCCTCCACGGCTGTAGTAAACTATTTAAGCGTTTTTAGACCGGAGATAGGCGCACATAAAAGTGTATATCCGATTGAAAATATACATTAAAGCGTTGATCACATTGTAATGAAAATGAACAGAGTGAAAAGCTGTAAATATTCCTTTTTAGTCATATGTATGTAACTCAACAAACGCAATAAATAACTCATATTAATCGATAAAAAGATAACGATTCATCGGGTTACGACGTTAAAGCGATGCTGAGCACAAGTTTGGTTTAATTATCAAGATACAATCATGTCTGGTTATTTGAAGGCTAAAAAAGTATAAAGTACATGCCTTACCTAGATTGAAATATCCCTAGAGCATCCGGAGCTTCGAGGATGTCTGATCTGAGGCGACCAACGGCGAGCGTTGAAGCTATAGACTGGCCATACTTTATGAACGGGTTTCCCACGTGGTAGATATTTCTATTTGCTCCTACAGGGACCGGGAGTGACCTTGAAACTATTTCCAGTCACCCTCCAATGACTGCTTATGTTTCTAAACACGCTCCTCTTCGTGTTTGCGTGCGTCTACTGGCCCTTGCGCATGTCTACTGAGCATTGCGCAATATGTTAGGAACGTACACGGCGTGCAACGCATGGAAAGTAAGCTTGAGCGTGGCTTAATTCACTATTTTTATTTCAAAATTCTGGTACCACGTCACACTGCCCGCGCTTCCTTGCAACACACCAGTGATTATGATGTTGAACTGCTACCACAAATGTCATACTCGCTGAATTTAGCACTGTCCACTTCTGTTTGGTTCTCTGGGCACAAACGACATTTGAAAGGACAGCAATTCTGCAGGGACGTGACCGTCAGGAGGACTCTGCGTGTTTGTGTGTGTGTGTGTGGGGGGGGGGGGAGAGTCAAGACAAACCATTTGTTTTTGTTTTTTCTCCGCGAGTTGGCAGCACGGGAGTACAACTGGGAGAAGTGCATCGCGCTCAAGACGGCTACGTAGAGCAGTCCTAAAGTAGCTGTCGCCTGGAACAACTAGCTGACAAAAAGCCTCATCCCTTTTCAAACATCCCTCGTAATATTCCCAAGTTAACGAATTCCACAGCGCCCGCTTGAAGTGGAGGATCTAGAAAGCCGATATTTTTGGCTTTCTGACTTCGGCCTTAACATAAAAAGAAAAAAGTTATATAAAAGGTACATTTGGAAACTCTCCACACCTGGGAAATTACAACGGTTAGAAGCGTTTGGTTAAGTTGAGAATTTCTATACCAAGACACCTCGTAATCGTGTTCCCCAAAAGCAAATGCCCTATCCAAAGTTTAGAGCGCACGATCATCTGACCAAATGATTGCAATTATTATTTTATCTTCTATGAGAAGGCGACGGGCCACCGGATCATCAGAGTGTGTAATCGCAAAAAAAAGAACACGTAAACTTTCAACAAAAAAGAAAAAAGGTGTTTTTAATGCAAATGTTTAAGTAATCCCTAAATTTTAAATTTTTCTTTTCTTGCCCAACTGCTTGTACTACACTGTGGTTGTATATAGGCATCTGACGACGGATATTATACATTAGCTACCAGTAGAAACCGGTTCTATTTTCGCGGAGTGCGGCCCTGTTAAATCAGCAAAACCCGCGAGACCTAGAATGTATAGCAGGATTTACAATACCACCTGAATGTCATAAAACAAATTGCACGCCTTATTAAACAGTATAAAGCTTCACAGTTATCATCTACGACAATCCGTGCTGATAAAAGAGATTGTTTTTAGAACCATCGTACACATCATCACGTATAGACCATGACCTAAAACTAGGGATTCCCCATTGCAGCACCTCTACTTTTAATGCCTCTTTGCTACCTCAAACCGCCATAGATTGGAATAGCCATCCCGCACCTATAGTCTTAATAACTAACACTGTTGATTTTAAATCTGTTACTACCAACTTTTTAACAGACAAGGCGTAACGCGTGTTTTTTTTTTTTTTTTGCCTCACTCAACTATGCTACTT